CCTAAGAACACAGAGATGTACATTCCGGCTGCGTGGAAGAATGGCACTGGCGAAACACTTAGATGCAATTACCAACAGGATGGTTGAATATACTTACTAGGGAAAATATATCTCTCCGATCTTCGAGTTAACTCCACAGTCCATAGGTGGACGCCATTCCTCGGAGGCCTGGGATAAAATGAGTCGACCGCCGCGAGCCATCCCTGTCTGCAAATAATCGGCTTTGGGAAACCAGTGCTTCCACTAGTGTGTAGAACACAATAGGGATCCCATTCTCCGTCTTCGAACGTCCTTTCATAGTCGATGGTAGATGGTTCCTCGTTGTAGTAGAAGTCTCGCTCAGGGGCAACGACCAAATTCTTCAAATCATGTAATTCTTTCCAGGAGTTAACAGAATCTTGGAACTCGGGAGAGTGGGCAATAAACTGGCAGTTCGTATCCTGAAAGAGTTTAATCTGGCCTTCAGTCGAGTTTCGAGGCGAGATGAATAAAGCCTGTAAATATTAGTAATTGGTGTTGTCGTGAATACCGCTGATAGATAAATCTCACCTTGTAGCCCGCCTTCATAGCACCGAATGCGAATGAGACGTAACGGGAATCGTTTAGTGCAATAAACGCAATTGTCGGAAACTGGCCTTTAGGTGCCGGGCCGGCGAAATCAATGATCGTCTTCGCAACGTAGTTGATTCCTTTGCCAAATTGGCGATAGGTGATCTTTTCCCAGCCATCTTCAGGCTCTGAGCCTCGTGGTATAGAGATCCATTCTTTATCTGGTGTAGTCGCTAGTCTCTCTTGAACGACGTGAAGCGGAAGCCGTCGCCCATATTTAGGAACCTCCGTGTCATTAACTCCGCTCATATTGACACAATGGCGATATATCTATCCTCGAAGTTGTTGAAATAACGGGCTCTTGTAGATTAGTCTTGGGCTTTCTTTTCTTCACTCAGATGAGACAACCCCCTCTTACCTTGGGGGTGCTTGACTCTCTTATATACCTTATCCATATTAGTCGTACCATACTGGGATCGCCATGTCCTCCGCACCTAGTATAGCCTTAAATGTAGCATGCACCTACAGATGCGACCCTATTACCGGTGAGGTATATTTCGCGAATCCCGAACGCGAGATCCACGCCTCTTTCCGTATTATAAGACCGTGTCGATATAGAATTTGTATTTTATTGGAAATAAAACTTTTATACCAGATGTTCCAAGGTAGCCACCAAATGTGGCCACCATGGATTAATATGGACTGGACTTTCTAAGATGAGTGAGTACCATGTGTAAGATGTAACTTCTTAAGAAGTGTTACTACATTTTCGTACTATAAGATAAAAGGTACAGGCGAGGAAGGTAGGATACGCTGCATAAGGTATGTACGTGTTAGTAGGCAGAACCTTGGGATGCTTCCATGAATGGATACATCTATATCAAGCGTAGGTACATGTATGTACCCACCTTGTATGCCGAGACTCCACATTCTTACTACAGTCCCAACTACCTATGTAGGTCCCTCGTGCATACATAGAAATCTACACATCTTTTTCGAGAAGCAGATAGTAAAACCTTGGCTATCCGTAGCCTCCGTGTTTGACGTAATGATCCTATGCTATATGCGTACTAGACCAGCTAAGTATGAAGCTTATCAAGACAACCGGTGACGGCTTCGGCATTTTCCACTTATGTTAGTGTGGCACTACTGCGTGGGTTGCTTCGATTGCCGCTTCACTCTCCCATTAGCTAACCCTCTTAGAACCTGGGTAGGTTACATCCTAAATTACTCACGTGTAGGGATTTGTATGTACATACATAGGCTGAGCTGAGAAAACACCTTACGACCTGCACACCAACACCGATGATAGATACTAGAAAACATCCTAAATAGAACCGATAAGCATTCATAACTCTGTAGGGGTCAGCCGGATAGTGTTGGCTCCGCCCTCTCGCGACGCGGTTCGGACACCGAGAGGGCTGGAGGGGCAACATGAATCTTCGACCGAGGCATCCCCGCAATAGTGGATCTAATTGTCTAAATTGAACGGGCCAATATCCGGGATTGATCGTCTAGCTCCCGGGTCATGGAATCATCTAGCGTAGAGTTTCTACCGGATTGTTGCTATTTACGTGGTAATCCCGAGCGGTCAGGCGGTATACTCTCCGAATTCCGATCATCACCAACTTGATGTATAAAATACACACAGAACACGCTTATATCGCCGACGGATTTCGCTCTTAGCTCTCTATAATAATAGTTGAAACGTCGATATGACGGCAATGATATCGTGATCCATATATTGGGAAATAAAAATTTTACAGAACGATGCTTAAGCGTAGCAACGGGTCATTTCGTGCTTCTAGAGGTGAGTGTAGAATATGAATTCTGGTTACTAAGTTTTGCTATAACCGCATTAAAACCCATCCCCATCTCGGTCTACCAGCTATTTCCCATACAATCTTAAGCCAGTATCTATTATTTATTCGAACCTGGATGCATAATTCCAATATGATAAGCCCCTGCCATGAAGGAATGAAAATGAGAATGAGATCATTGAGTTATACGTATACATACCCACAATCAAGATATAGGACCCAGCATAACCCTGGTATGAAAGCTGAGTCTATTTTAGCCTTACCGGCAATTCGAATCTCCATAAATAAAGGATCGATGTTTTATGCACTAAATTGTGCTCCATTGCGGTTGTTCTGAGTGCTATTCCTGGAATGTTTCCTTAAGACCACAATCCCAACCGGCAAATAAATGAGCCAGTCGATGATATGCAGGGACCCCCGAAGTTGAAATTTCGTGGTGCAAATTACTCATTGATGATCTAAGCCGTCGGGGATAACGACGGGATTAAATTCCATGTCCTACGAAACACACGGGTTTTAACTACGTTAGTAGATCACCATACTTGCCTCCTATATCGCAATACATAGTAGTTCCCTTGACCACATAGTCCTCCCGCGCCAAGATCACTAGCAATTAATATTAATTCCCGCATTTACATACAGACATATGCCACCCCGATCTATATCAGGAGTTAATTGGCATCCACCTAGACGAAGATTCGTATTGTAGCGAGACTTGATAACTTTCCGTCTCGAGGCCGACACTACGCCGAAAACACTATATAAATAGGAGTGTTGCACAACAGTTTCGTGTTTCGTAAGAGGCAAACTGGCGCAGCTGAGCATCTGTCGGGAATAACCGAGATATCATATCATACCTTCCGTTCCTAACCGTCATCTGGGGAGCGGCGGTGACCAACATACATATATCGCAAACCAATATGCGGGTACCGTGACTACATACAGCAGTGTTTCCTCGCGAACTCAGAAGCCAGACTTCCTACACGTTTGACCAGTCGAATGATGGATGCGTGGGCCATCTATTAGTGGCCTTCGTGGCATCCAATTGCGGGAATAAAGCGGCACTGGGAAGCGGTGAAGACCAGACGAGAAGAGCCGAAATATCGAGAATACGGACACGTATTAATATAAAGCCTAATAACCTCGGGCAACTACGTCTACGATTAGGGTAATTATTGATCACTTAGACGTGAGGCTTAATGGGCTTTCTCGGTGAGGCTGGCAAGCGTGTTCGAATGTCGTTTTGCTAGAGGGCAGTTGGCTGCTCTTTCAGTAAATTGTAATCTGGGGCCTGACTGATTATACTCCGTCTTCGATTGGGTATATAAAGTATCTCACACTACGAAATAAGGAGAGGCTTTTGAATTCGGAGTTGAGTAAATTGTGGTATATGGAATGAATGATTTAGGGACAGGTGGATGTTTTTTTTTTTTTTTCAGACGAGGCACAATTCGTCCACGGAATGCGAAGTGGAGCCCCGACTTAAACAGAGTCCACGATGGAATCTATGGAGTAAAGTAATAGCTTTGGTATCGTATGTGTATTCTTGGGACCGATGTTATTAAAGGCTTATAAGAAAGGGGGTACACAACTTAGAAAGAACCGTGCAGTTACACTCATCTTTTAAGATAACAAAGCTCAACTAAATATGAGGTAAGAGGGCAAAACATTTGTATTAAAGCTTTGAATCAGGCCACAACAATAAATAGCCATGAAGTGAAAATTAATAGATTATCAAGCGCCCTAACCTAGGCCTGTTCGAAAAATAAAACTCCAGAATGCACCTAGGCAAACAGGACTAAGCTAGAACCACAATATCGTCGGGGATATGGTGAGTTCATATATCCTGTTCTATGGTTGTTACTGCTAGAGTGCGAAATAGCAGTTTCTTTTATAAATATTTTGATATATTTCATTCTTAAAAAAGAATATATTACACCTTAATAGGAGCCTTCTTCGTAAGAAGCGTTCTTTTCGATACTATTGTAAAGGCTTTATGAGGTATTGCCATACCACCAGTATTGGAAAATTTGATGAATTAGTTTCCTCGATATAAACAGCATATCAACAAAATTACTTGTAGGACCGAACTTATGAATATGCTAAAGTAAGTCAGGCTTTAGACACAACCGTAGCTATCGAAAGTGAATTTTTAGTATTGTTTACGCCTCTTAGTATTCTGCAATACCTAAGTCATCTTAACTTCTTAAGGGACTAGTGCTGTTTGTTGTAGGTAAGGAGCTTTTTAAGAGGCAATCCTACGTAAGATAATGTGCTTCCAGACAACTTAGCAGAACCCGGTATATTTAATACCCCCATTAACTCGAACCGATTCACTCATGGAAAGTTTTGGTTGGAAGTCATTCATTTCTTAATTTACCTAGGTATGAAAGACTTCAAAAAGGGGTTGTGAACCCCTTATCGGGACTAAGAGCACGGACCACACGCAGAGAAGTTGAAATCTTGGTCAAATAATTTACATAGTAAAGCAGATGCATGGCACGTTTAAGAACTTTATCCCGATAAGAAATATGATGAAGACTGGAGAACTTTTCATAGCTTGAAGCCATTGAGCGGCATTATCGAAGAGACTTGAAAAAGTCAAGTGGCTTGAGAAAGGTTGGAGTATTTGGTACTTATTTCCTGTGGTAAATTCGTATAAATTGAAGTACTTCTTAGTCATGTGTACATACCTACATCATGACATTATCGATCACTTTAAACGTCAATTGCTAGTGCGAAGGTTACCTAATTGCACATAGTTAAACTTAAAGCTTTATCCGACTTTACCTAAGATAGGGAAAGCATGTATACAACTCTCCACCTTATCATAGCGACAAACGACTCATCACAACTTACCACTTAACAATATTTACCTATCACTTAACCCTTAGTCGTCGCATCTCAACTATTGCTGGCAGACATGGGTCATCTTGTGACTGTTGCGACTTGTTCGCTAAATCAGTGGGCCCTTGATGTAAGTACTAATTCCATGGCCGAATATCACTCTTTTAACCAGTGGCGGGGGACTAACAATATATCCTAGTGGGAGGGAAACACTCAACGTATTATCGAGAGCATTCAAAAAGCGAAAGCTGCTGGTGCACGGCTACGCGTTGGACCAGAGGTGAGGTCTTTAATAACGTTTGCTCCAGCCATTCAGGCTTGGCACTGTTACCCGCCGTTTGCTAACCTGATATGATAGCTGGAAATATGCGGTTATGGATGTCTCGATCACCTGATGGAGCAGGACCTTTACCTGCACTCTTTAGAGATGCTAAGGCGAATCCTGCTTGATGAGAGCTGTCATGGCATACTACTGGACATTGGTATGCCTATCCAGCATCGGAACCAGCGATTTAACTGCCGAGTCATATGCCTCAACTCCAAGATCCTGATGATCAGGCCGAAGATGTGGCTCGCAAATGACGGCAACTATAGGGAAATGAGGTTTTTCACACCGTGGATGCATCCCCGAGAGGTAGAAGATTATCATCTGCCTCGCATGCTACAGGAGATCCAAGGAGCCACACATGTGCCCTTTGGTGATGCCGTTATCTCTACCCCTGATACTTGCTTGGGCGCAGAAACGTGCGAGGAGCTCTTTACCCCTGCGGCGCCTCACATTCCCATGAGTCTCGATGGTGTAGAAATCATCACAAATTCCAGTGGTTCGCATTTCGAGCTGCAAAAACTCGAAACCCGACTGCAGCTCATTACGGAAGCTACCAGGAAATGCGGGGGTGAGTATGAGGCGTTTGTTGCCCCTTATCTCAGCACACCCCCCGACTAAATGCATTCCGTCCGGCATATAAGCTATGCTATGAGCTTTTAATGAATCCTATGATATATCCTGTTCGTAATAGATGCTAACTCTTCGTGCCTTAGGTGTCTATCTTTATGCTAACCAACGTAAGTAAACCCAGTCCCAGCTGAAGAGTTGAAACTAATACGGCCGAAGAGGGCTGTGATGGCGACCGATTGTACTACGATGGCTCAGCTATGGTCATTGTGAACGGAAAGGTTGTGGCACAGGGCTCTCAATTCAGCCTTAACGATGTCGAGGTGGTGACAGCAACAGTGGACCTCGAGGAAATCCGCGCCTACCGGTCGGCAATCTCTCGTGGCCTACAAGCTGCTAGTTCCAGCGCGAAGTACAAGCGTATTCAGACTGCATTTGAACTCAGTTCAGAACAGGATGATTTCGATATTGAAAAGCGTCCATCACCACCGATCAAGCTTCGATATCATACCGTGGAAGAAGAGGTCGCACTTTCAGCAGGATGCTACCTCTGGGATTACCTGAGACGATCAGGTGTGGCAGGGTACCTTGTTCCTCTAAGCGGTGCGTGATATCCTATCCATACCCACCCCCCTGATCATACTTGCTGGGTTATTTAGCTGCTAATCCGCATAACATCAAAAGGGGGCATAGATTCTTGCGCTACCGCAACTATCGTCTACGTATGTTATTTTCTGCCATTCTTCCTCATTTCGATTTCTTGTGGTGCTTCTAGGAATGATTATTAATACTTGTTGCTGTAGTCTATGTGTCGTATTGTGATGGATGCAGTAAAGGAAGGAAATCCCCAAGTAATTGATGATGTTAAACGGATTGCTAAGTATAAGGGCGAGAATGTTCTCCCTGAGACCCCACAGGAGCTATGCAATCAGATCTTCTCGACTATTTACATGGGCATGAAGGCACAGAGTTCCGATGAGACGCGACAAAGAGCAAAGGACCTAGCAGAAGCTATCGGCAGCTATCATGTCAACCTAGATATCGACGATGTTTACAATGCTCAGAAGGCCCTTATTGTCAGCACCTTGAACTTTGAACCGAAGTTCAAGGTGCATGGTGGAACCTATCAAGAGAACATCACGTTGCAGTGTCTGCAGGCAAGAATTCGTATGGTTACGGCTTATGAATTTGGGCAAATCTTGCCGACGGCTCGAAACCGGCCCGGCGGTGGAAGTTTACTTATTCTTGGAAGCGCGAACGTAGGAGAATCTCTTCGTGGCTACCTTACAAAGTACGTCCTCGGCCCCGTTCAATTTTCACTAATATACTGACAATTTTGGAAGATATGATTGTTCAAGGTCAGTATAAAATATTTATCTTGCTTCCTTTCGATGGGATACGGTTGCTCTATCTGCTCTTGATAGGCATCGCAAAGCCTATCATCTACTTACGATTAGCCTTGACCTCGTTGTTCGTACTGGTTACTAATATTTATTGGTGATCTAGCGCGGACATCAATCCGATCGGTTCTATTGATAGTAAGTAGCTCGATTTTCATTACCCCCCATTCCATCTAACACAAAGCTCTTCCGTCTTATTTCGGCAAAGGATTATGCCTCTCAACTCGATGTATTGAGTTATTCACGAAGGCTTACTACTAATACTAACTACTATGTAGAGGCCGATCTGAAGCGATTCATTGCCTGGGCCGAGAAAAACTTCGATCTGCCGTGCTTGCATGAGTTTCTTACTGCTACGCCAACTGCAGAGCTCGAGCCCCTGACAGAGTCCTACGTGCAGAGCGACGAAGTGGACATGGGAATGACTTATGCGGAACTAACAATTTTCGGACGTCTGCGTAAGGAAAACAAGCTGGGACCCTTTGGCATGTTCCAGCGGCTCGTTCACGATTGGAGCGCCGACCGCGTCAAGGGGCCCGACGACGATGCCCCCGAGTACACGCCCGCTCAGGTGGCCGAGAAGGTCAAGCGCTTCTTCCATTTCTACGCCATCAACCGCCATAAAATGACGACTCTCACACCCGCTCTGCACTGCAACCCCTATTCCCCCGACGACAACCGATTCGACCTCCGACCGTTCCTGTACCCTCCCTTCTGGAAATCGTGGTCCTTTAAGAAGATCGATCGGGAGTTGGAGAAGATCGAGAAGCGGATGGCGAAGAAATAGGAGCTCGCTCGCTTGGCAGGCGAACAGTGATAGATGCGATGCCTCTGCTCTTGGAAATGGCGTACGTATACGTAAGTCCGAGGCTAGTTAGGCGGATTTGTAGGTAGTAACTTTAGATGCGCGATATGCTGTGGCCATAGTTGTACAATACACAGCGCATAGCTGCAAGTTGCACTAAAGTATAAATAAAAACATGTTACACTACGGACTACGGTTGGTTCGTGTGCAAACATGAAATACGTCAATAAAATCACATTTTGCAAAGAAACCCTGTTCATGAGATTCCGCACAACTAGGTAGTTAGCGAATAGTTAATGGGTAGAACTAATACTTAGTGCTTATATATACGGAAACATGACGAAGCGGACATTGCGTAGGTAGTGTATATGTAGGTATTGTACCTAGGTAGGTTCTTATATAAGCAGCGGTAATATGATATTCCTTAATTGCTCGCCCCGGCTCAAGCAAGGGTTGAAATTGCAAACTCCAGGGTCGTTGAGATTGAGGGGTTGGGTTGGGTTTGGGTAGGGTAACTTGGAGTATAGGTACCTACGAAATAACGCTATGTAATATATAGGCACGTAGTACAGTTAAGTTAACGTCTTTACATACTTAAAGGTAGACTCTACGCTTTAATGTGTATAGCTGAGTAAGATATGGGATAAGTATAGGATATAGGTAAGATTTCAGTAGTGACGGGCTGTCCCGGGATTACCGCTTGAAAGTTGAAGTAAGTTGTGTTAGGTATTGTACCTCAGGTAAGAGGTACCTAGATATTTCGGGACTCTGTTGATTCGATATCACTAATGATTAACGACTGTGAATAAGCCGTGTCGCGCATTTATTCCACACCGCAGTTGATTGCTATGAAAGAAGTACCTATTCAAAGCGAACCCTCGAGTTTGCTATTTTTCATCCATCCCATCCTCCTACACGCAAGGGCACTCATAAATTACACGTGCAGCAACGACTGATCTACCTATGCCGCATGACGACTTTTACGTCTGTCGGTCTACCTATCTGTCTGTAGCACGAGTTACTTAGTGTTCCAGCAGATCGCTAACCTAGAGATCTACATTTGCTAAGAGGTGGGTTTATTCAATAGAATGATCGATATCTGCACTCCAGAAGCCAGGGATATACATAAGAATCAATAGTGCTGTGATATCATGTGACAGTGACACTCTACAGGGTTCACACGTTCTGTTAGTAAAGAATATACCTAGAATATTTGCAGCCGCTATGTATTAATTAGCTCGTAAGCAAGATCGCCAATATCGTCGTCACGGAGCCCCTCAAGGTTGTTAATTTCGCTGTTGGTGCCCGACGTCATGTTTCGAAACGATGTCGGAGCGCAATCGATAAGACAGAACGAGCGTTGGTGTTAGCTGTGTTAGTTACCTAACCTACAGTCTGGTTAACCTAGCAGGTTAGTTACCGTACTTGTCTCCAAGTCAGCCTGGCCTGGCCCCCCCTGGCGCAGCTTTCTCCATCTTAATCGGGCCGGCCGACGCGACCACCCTCGTGAGTTGCGAGGCTTGGACGGGGGTCCGTTCCGCAAACAGGAGGTTGTTAACAGCTGCAGCAGTGAGCAAGGATCGGGCTGATTTCCGAAGTACATGTTACGGTGTTACCTATGTACGATTGCGAGTTTACACTGGCAATTGGTTCGCGCGGCCAAGACAACCTGTTCTAGAAGACTTACACTACATACTCACCAGGCTGTCTGATGTGGTTACCTTCTCACATCTCACAGAGCAGAGTTAATAGCCAACCCTCCGGTGTGCGACGAGAATGGGGTACCTAGTGTTGCTACGCTAGAGAAAGCTATGGCGCCATCTAGAGCGTTTCTAGTCAGTGCACAATGCAACGCCATCTGCATCTGGAGAACTCGTCCAAGCGTTCAAGTCGATCGTATGGGGACCTCCAAGTGCGATCCATCGTCTAAGAATCGTTGGATGCTTTTATCCATTGAGTTTCCCGATTATGGGAACTTCTCCATTTGTCGGTCCTAAATATGGCAGATCTAAGTGTCTAGCGTCAGTGTCGGGCTTCACTCTATGCTATCCTGGTGCTAGTAGACTAAATTGTCGTGGAATATACCGGTGGCTTGCTCTCCTTTAGCCCGGGACCTAGTGGTATTCCGTCGTTGACATAGGTAGTTGAAGGTTTCCATCGGATGTCACTGTTCTACAGAGCATGCCTTTTAGTCCACCAAAACAATGTCTCAAATTACCATTTCTAGGTAGGTAGTCAAGCAGGTTTAACCTGGCGCGTTTGGCGGATAGTTCCGACGCAAAGATGCGAGTGGCAGACCAGCAGACCAGGTGCATTTCTGCATGGTTTCAGAAGCTTGGCGATCTTCGTGGGACGCAGGATATCCGAGCGGACGAACTCTGGATTATCGAACATGTCTCTGGACCAAACAGCACCGCTTTTTGATTGTCGTCGTCAACTACCGAGCCACCTCGCAAGACACTGTCTCAGATAAGCTTAATACGACGCGAATCTGAAGTGAACAGCTTTATCCTTATGTCGTCATGTCTTTCCTTCAAAGTGGGATAGTGGGATATGAAGCTTGGTAATACATAAGTCACAAAACTTGAGATATCCCTTGGTGCAACTCTGTGTTAGATGTGAACTCGAAATGTGAACTCGAAACCGGGCATAATAACGTATTTGTGGTTTAGCATAGATAACTCTATCCGCGTGCCTCCGATTTTCTTAACGAGTATCAAGAACGAGGGGTTATGGGTGATTGAAGACATGCAGCGAGACATGTGTTGGAAGAAGTTGCAAACAGGAAGTGGCCCATCTAAAATGTATCCCAATTACTACAATTGCTACCTCAAATAGATAAGATAACGATATCTATTAACCGATGTGGCTTGTTGCCGCGAGCCGGTACTGTCCAAACCTACCTAAAACATACTGAATGAAGAGTTCGAGCACATAGTAACCGGCAGCAAGACTCATTCAAATAGCTTCGTCATCAATCCGTTGTAACATCAACATACGTGAAACTTGCCGAACGTGATATTCCAGATGATAGTGCAGAGATACTGTAGCAATAAAGCAAGATGCGATACGATGCGATGCGACGGTAGCGCATGAATGATATGAGGCATTCCAACATAGAAGAGGAATACTCCTCGGCGCATGTAACACAAGCATGTATGAGTGCGAAAATCGGGCGTCGAAAGTTGCTATAGTGACTACGTGCATGTAAGTACCTCTTACCGGCATTGGAGGTTCCAGATAGATGATACTACATGAAGAAACGCTCTCTTATCTTGTTGTATGGCAATTAGTTCATCTCGCGGCGACGGACATCTATACAGAACCATACTTACCAGATTTGTATACCGTTGCGAAATCGTCTTGAAATGGCCGAGCCCAACTTTTCTACTAATACGTAGTAGTACGTTAACTCCTCTCTGAAACAGCCTTAACCATTCTTCTCCCTTCGGTACTACTCCAAAGACGTTGGAGTGTGATGCCGAAATAGGAAAGTCGACGTTTTCTAGAAGACAACTGACTCCGATCTGGTTCGGCCCGAGAGCCTGTTTGTCGAGAAGATGCGGCGACAGCTCTAACCCGATGTAATACGTAATCGCCGCCAACGTCCGCTCTGCTGGTCCCAACCCTTTGGAGATTTGAACATACTTACCTATACTTAACCATGCATTTCTCGGTTCATGCCGGGGAACTCGCAGGGAGGAGGAGAGGGAGGTTAAAATATGCTATGTATCGGCCCCGTAAACATAATAAATGAAATACCGATTTCTGGCGTACCTATGTTAGTATCAGCATAATGGCTGACTACATGATATTCCACGCTGAAAAGGGGGCTGACAGTCTGCAGCAAGTCGTGATGAAATTTTCGTGGCGTTTTAGATTTGCCAATCGACAGGCACGAAGTAGCCTCGTCACATCTTGACCTAGTGCTCGAGTTTTTATAGGTGCGGCATTTTCGAAGTTGTCGTGACAAACATTATACGGAGGTAATAATGCGCGTGGCGTGGGTTGTGCATTTTCGTTCTCGTCATCATCGCCTCCCACTGCAATAATCATTTGCCCTATGTAACGACCAAGACGCCAAAATCTGACGCGTTATGAGTTGACTAGAGTCGGGTTCTACCTAGACTAGGGGAGTAGCGGAAAGTGGACAGCGTATGCGTTGAGAACCAACGCGATGCTATAGTGTACGGCGGGTTGATACATATTCATCTACTTATTAGTCATATGTTGTGCCTCTAGACCCTTGCTTCGTGTCGGCAATTTCTTTTCTGGGTAATGCTGTTCCGTATGATATATAGGTCTGGCCCTATCTAGATAAAAATGCTTGGTACCTAGTTCGTTGCCCTGTACTCTTCGTCATGTGGGCTTAACTAGCTGAAAAGACCATGGTGACGCGTTCTTCTATTGGTGTAAAGCGCTATGTTGTTGGGACCCAAGATAATTCCACAGAACCATACAGCCATAGTGTACAATGCCCCTTGCATTGGGGTGCTGATCAGTGAAGAGCGGAACAGTGGAACAGCGGGGAACAAAATCGTAAGGCAAAATCTCAGACCTGCAGAAGAATTAGCCAGTAAAAATGCGCCGCTGATGTTATCAACTGTGAGAGGCTACCCTTTCAGCGATTTCTAGCGGTTCCGAGAACCAATACGTCGGAACGCTTTTCTGACTGGCTGTAGCGAACTGTAGGGATTGGTCAATTACCTCCGCTTTAGCACTTCTTGTCTGCCTTTCGCTCCCCTATTTTGCTACATGAGAACCCGCATAGTAACCGCATCTTGTCTGCTTGTTTGAATACGAATGGCGGCTACAAGACCTAAGATTTTCAGCTGGCATGGTTGTACAACGTCGACGAGTATGAAGTACAATGTATAGTTGGTACTCGCTATGATTCGTTCCGCGTGTCTGCGGCGCAGACAAATTTTCCCTCTTTTTCTCTTATGCATACCTTTTTTCTTCTCTCTCTTCCGATTGGGAATTCCCGGTGCAAGAGAGTTGCATCGTCCCCGAAGCGATTGCCTATTAAGGCAAGCTTGGCCGGCACTGGGAAATTTGGGCAAGCCCCTGACGGACTGTCGGGTTGTTTTCGCATGATATCCATATGATGGAGTAATATGAGCGATAGATCCGATGAGGCCCGTGAGCTCAACAGGGCTGAGACATTTCCCAAGAGCTTCAACATCCTAGAAGGCATCGAGAACACCTCGCTTATTAGGAACTAACCGATTTTAAGGCATGGTGCCGTGCAGTTCTGCATGTATATTTGTATGTGCATGTTCGTTTTTCATTTCTTACTCTTGGCAAAATATAAGAGCAAGACATTGTGGCTGTTTCTAACTGTTTGTTTCTTCTCGTATGTTAGTGGCAATGGTCTCGAATTCGTAGGCTAGGCCAGACATCTAATGGGATATAGATGAACGACTAGACTTTTGAGACGCCCATGATTTGCATTGTGGCTTAGTTCGAGAAAAAGATAGAATTCTCAGCTAATCGCATCTCTACCTAAATATCGACAAGCGAGAATAGACGAGCTTACGAGAAGTTGCCCTACACCCTCCTTTAGACGGCACACGACTTCCGTCTGTGTGAAAAGGCAATTGACTATACGCCTAATGCAGGGACAGTCTGACCGTCACACTGCATTTAGCCTGTTCAATTCGGCGAACTTTGTACCTGCAGGACTAGCCCTAGATCGGGGGCAGTCTAATACATCTTAAGATGTATGTAGGTACCTCCATGTAAAATGCTTACTATTATATAGTGCCGGCACAAATATTAAGGCTATGAAATGCCAAGTAGTGAAGCTTGAATTTCTTGAGTTTCTTGGCCTTTTGAGATGTCGCCAAGGTTGCCGTCGATAGGTAAGTTTCAATTACCTGGAAGCGTCGCCCTATACTCCATGTGTATTCGGCCTGCAACTATGTCTCACCAGCACGCGAGATAGTGTATTTTAGCTGCATCATTTAGACAAGGTTGGTGCAGGTCTTGGTATTATACGAATATAATCGTCGGGCAGTCGCCATTCCCGAACGGGTCGGTTGGCAGCATGGAAACTAATAATAACAGCCCGCAGAACAGCCCGCAGTACAGGCTGATGGATTTAACCTTATAGATTCGGCCCGCCCTTGACCTGTCATTTCGATTATGCTGAGTAGTATGCGGTACACCGCACACGCAGTGTGTATGTGAAGGAAAGAAAAGAATAATAGAAATCCTTCAGATACATACGTAAGAATTGTAGGTACCTACGTAATGTATGACTTGCAGACAGAGAATCCTTTTCTCAACTCGATACCGACAGCGGGTTGTGCCATGAGATAAGTGGGCCTAGTACGTGATCTAATGTAGGTACTATGTACTTGAAATGAAAGTACAGATTGTGCCTCTTATCGTAGGTACGTACCTGTAACGTGCTGCCGGAATCACTGTAATTTTCTGCAGGTGCTATCAACTTTGTTTTGGAGTTGCCCAATTGCTCCTCAACCCCCGATGCTTTTACCGTACCATTGGTAAGCAGGCCTGGCAGGCAGACAGGCTAGGGGGTAAGTACTCCATAATGTCCCTACCACTCAGAAGGATAGATTCGAATTTATCTGCGTGCCGCGAACTTGTGGGACAATGGATCACCAGTAGGAATCCTTCAATGGCTAACTACTATATGTCATACTAGTCATACTACCGAGGACATGCGAATACATACAACCTACTGGACATATGTACGCGCAGGATTCAGCGAATCTGCGGTAGAACCCCACTGAGCGCACAGTTGATCCCTTGTTCCTTCAGAGAGCAGAAGGCCAGTGGCAGAGCAGAGCCAACTTGAGTTGCTCAAAATCAAATTTCTCCACGAAGCTATCCAACAGGGTGCCAATTTTATTACCTAGTGCTGGTTATCAATGGGAAAAAAAGACCGAACTTAGCTAATTAACCTACAGTAGTCGAAACGGGCAACGACTTAACCGAGTATACAATGCCCCCATCGTCTCTCTAAACAGCCAAGCGTAGAGCCCTTCTAGGCTGCCAAGACAGCAGGGGAGACTGTTTGGAATTCTAGTGGACCGAACTGCAAAGGAAGTCCCCTTGTCAGACTTGACGATGTCACGATGGATGGTCGATGGCAAGACTTGGCAGATGGTGAACTCTAGCTTCCCCATGTGGTCCACCGGCCTCCGCCCGAGAGCACACCCTCAAGCAAGCTCAAGCAAGCCCTTCCACCACTCAGCGGGCCAGGTTGTACAAAGGCGAGATACGTCAGGGCGACCCAAAAAGAGTAACTCGCAAGGATTATTCGTGCTCAATGCTTGTCGTCGTATCTAACATGCAGTAGGTAACATGCAGTTAGGTACATACATATGTACAATACCACAAGAAGCGAGCAGATCCACCCAAAGAGTTGCATCGAGTATCCGCTACCCCAAGCCCCCGGCAATACGCCGTCAATTGGCTTTCAGAGTCGAGGCCGCGTGCCCCATCTATTCGATAGGTTACATGTACTGCAGTGTACTCAGGGCCTTCATCTAAATATGTCCTTTCCTCCTGCCGACTCTGTCTATTCATGTACTTCTGGTCTTTTTGCTTCCTGGTGTATCTCTCTCTTCGCTCATGTTCCCGCCCCTACTTGTGATTCATGTGTATGGGAATGCCCTCATCTGCATGAGACTCGGGGCCATGAACGCCACTTAAGCTATTAATCTACTTACATCAGAAGCATTCGCCGCGCGCCCCCGGCCCATGCCTGGTTGTTGGTCTGAAGTGATTAAACAGCCACTTTACCTATATTCTTTAAGGCGCGCATAATTCTAGTTGACAGAGTCCGTGGACCCAAAGATCTACCGAGTAGGAACGATTCGATTAATAGTTGTACATCTGCGAACACGCCTGCGATATACTTTTCTCGTTTTACGCGATACCCAAGTCAGTTTACATCAACTTCGTCCGGTTCGATTTCCACCACCTCAGAGTCGAATATTCAGATCGAAATAGTAGCATAATACACCTTATAGCTAGCATCATACGACAACATTGGTATTGAAATTTTATATCGACGATTAAAATCTATTAAGCATCCCCAAGGATCAGGGTTTATATAGAGAGAATCTCAATATGGCAAACGACTCGATAGCAGCCTTACGTGGCGGGTGCCCCGCGCCTTTTTTCAATGAGCTCATGTTCCCTGCGGATGGAGGACGTAAGTCTCGAATCGATCTCATCACCGAGTGTGTGTCTAATCGGTCTATAGATGTGGATGGCCGCATATGCGCGCCCTTTGCGACCTTGAGTTGTTGTGTACCTTGCCCTATGACAGACTGGGCTTACCCGGATAATTTCACGACGGCAACGACGGCAGCAAACTGGGTCAATGTCGTTGGCATGGTTTGCTGTGCTTTTCTCTTGATTTCCTGGATTGTGCTTCCCGTCGATAAGACACATCGCCACTACCTGAGTATCAGTCTCGCCTGCGCCGTTGTTCTCATGAATGTGGGTTAGCTCTTGTTTAGGGGTATGTAGCTCGAGTATAGTTAGCTAATCATCTATAGTTGGGCTTCATTATTCCTTTAGCGGCTAAGCCAGAGCAATGTTTTAACGAAATCACTCCGCACGGGATGGATACAAGTTCCGTATGCGCCGCCTCGGGTTCTTTCTTGCTGGCCGGTGGCTGGGCTGGTATCATGTGGGTTTTCTTACGAGCGCTTTCCCTGCATCTTCAGATCTGCTGGCAATTAGTCGTGGGCCGGAATTATATGTGGTTTTCTCAAGTGCTCGGTTGGGGTATACCCATCATCGGCCTCGTTATCCTCCTTGTCTTTAGCGGAGTTTCGTTCCGCTTTGGAGCTACGTGCCATATCAACCACGAGAACAGTTTGGCCGATTTCTGGATTCCGCTGCTGGTATTTGCAGGCCTCACCGTTATCATTCAATTCGCCACCTTCGGATACTGCATTAAGGTCTACCTCGCATCTTTGACTGACAATAGCGCCACGACCGAAAACTCTGGCATGCCCTCTTACTCAAACAGCATCCGCACTATGACTCCTCGTCAGGCATACCGAAGAATACGCCGCGTTATCCAACTTCAATGGCGTGGTATCGTCATCGTGCTCGTTATCATCGCGGATGTTATCTTCTTCGCCGTTATCTTTGTCTTCCTTGATAACACCGTGGAATCAATTAGGACTCATCCTGACAAGGCGTTGACTTGGGCGGCCTGTCTAGTCCAATCCGGTGGTGATAAAAATAAGTGCTTATATCTAGCAGACGAATTAGTAGTCAGTCTTCCGACTGTCACGGCGGTCTTGATACTTCTAGCGGTAAGTGGCTATCATAGGGAATCGGTGATGGTGGATGAGGCTAATAAGAGTTATAGATGAACGGCCTTTGGCTACTCTTACTACTCGGCCGCTGGTCAATGGTTACTGGCTGGCTCGACTTATTCGGATCATACACTGGTTTACGTACCAAGAAAGAATTTGTATCTGTTGATGCTCGGATGGATATTAAGCAGGACCCCCGGTCTTATGAAATGTTGTCTCGCGATTCCGGAAAAACAGACACCATGCTGACGCCAATTAGCCCAACAAAGTCGCCGACCTCGCGAGGTGGGCGCCAGACGCCGGATTACTTCGGACAGACGGCACGATACCAACCACACCAGCGGTCGTTCTCTTCACCAAGGCCGCCGCAACAGTTACAGTGGGAAACGACACAGGAGAGGTACCAAGACTCGTATCCATTACCATCAATGCCTGCGCAACCACACGGGTATGAAAACATGAACCCACTAGGGATGAATAGAATACAGAGAGACGAAGAAGAAGGATACGCGGCTCCGAGATCCCAATATACCCAGCCCGGAGCACCCGATTATAATCGCGACCATGTTTTCATCTGAGCAAATCTATTTTATTCACGCAGGCTCCCTGCATAACAACTATCCTGTACAATTTTTCTTTTGATGTTACCATATTAAAACGGCTCAGTGCCTTGAACGTGTGGTGTTTTGGGGCTTAAAGCGTGGCGTCTCGGGATTGGACGGATTTTGTATCGATAAAATCACTCTTTACCCTAGAGGCGTGATCGACTGCAAAGAATAGGCAGGGGCATCGGAAAATCTAGGAAGACAAATACCCCAGAAGAGAGAGGGGGTTAGTTACCTCGGGGAAGAAGCAGCGAGGCAAAATAGTATAACTAAAAAATAAGTATTCATAATGTGGACACCGGGTTCAGGGGAGGAGAGATGGCGGTAAGCCGGCTGGCTGGCATGTCTCATGTCTTGCCTCTGATGCCTAGAACGAAGTATTAGCATGAAAGCTGACCGGGAGACGAAGCTACGCAGCGATGGCAGCTTCGTTTCTTTAGGCATTTGGCTTGTTGGCTTCGAATAGGTGGCCTATATTAGTCTAAATCAATGAAATGGGCTATTCGCCTCAGTTTGACTTTTACTTTCTTGTTCGAGCGCGGTCTAAAGATTATCATTAACTTAGAATATTCTTTTCTCAACGAATCATATCCCAAATCTGTTGAACGTTGCTGATGATAGATATAAGAAAGGCAAATAGGGCTAGGTGAGCTCATATAAACTAGTGAACTTATATAAATCAGTCGGGCTGTGCTTATGTATTGCATTACACGTCCATAATGCCTATCTTGACTTCATTCATTGCGTAATAAAACTCAAAAATGCTTATATTTATTTCCCAAAGTATGAACATTTGTATTTTAAATTTATGTCACCTTGATTGGGAGCACTAGAACGAGAACGATAGGGCTGCAGTTGCATATCAGGAACATACATATGTGCCTACATGCCTACATGTAGAATGTACGTACCTGTACGCCAGGAGTTGGATGGATTATGTAATGAAGGGCTAGGTACATAATGCAATAAGTAATGCAATAAGTAATGCAATAGTGGGGTAGGTCCCCTGTTAAACCCGCCAACGTCACTCCGTGAGGAAAGGACTGGCTCTCAGTTCTTCAATGCTTTAACTCAGCCCGATAAGATCTTCTCTCGCAGACTTTAGTCTCTGTTTCTTCTTCTTACCATTTAATAATTTTATCCTCGTAGATCAAAACTCATATGTTACGATGGGCTCAATACCATCATCATCTATCTTAATTGTCGTGTCTTGTTTCGGAATACTGGACATCGATTATCTTCAACCCTCCATTTAGAATTTTAGAATAGCATCCTCTTTATCCTGCCTACCTTAACCCCTGATACTATCGTTATCCCCGACCTTCTTGGAGATATATGTATAACTACCTAGGTATATAAACAAAATGTATCAGGTTCTCCTCTTCACATTCCTTTTTCTCGGCGGCTACGTCCATTATCTGTGGAAAGCCGAGGCCGCCCTTCATGAACCATGGGTTCCCGACGTAGGCGACCGACTCTTCAGCCAGCGACCTCTCCCCCCGTTTAAAGAATCGTCTAGTATAGCAACCTATACCTTCCCTCTACGGACTCAGGGCCGGAACATCGTCGATGCTACCGGCCGTCGCTACAAACTCGCCAGCGTCAATTGGTACGGGGCGAGCGATGAGCTCTTCATCCCCGGCGGACTCGAAGTACAGCATCGCTCCGTAATCGCTGAAACTATCCGCATGCTGGGCTTCAACAGCGTACGCTTACCTTACTCGGACGAAATGGTCATCCGCAACCCGCATATCCTCCCCCATCTTCTCACCGCCAACCCCGACCTCGTAGGTCTACGCGCTCTCGATGTACTTCAAGCTGTCGTTGAGGCATTGACCGATGCCGGCATCGCTGTCATCCTCAACAATCACATCACAAGTGCGACGTGGTGCTGCGGTGCCGATCCGTGCGACGCCGGCTGGGCCAACGATCAATTTGGCCCCTTGTGCAAAGTCTCACAGACGGAGGAGGAGTGGATACAACATTGGGAGACAATCATGCAGCCGTTTGTGAATAACCCGAGAGTTATCGGTGCCGATCTCAGGAACGAGGTTCGCGGCGCCTGGGGCACCATGTCGTGGAACCGCTGGGCGGACGCTGCGGAGAAATGCGGGAACAGGCTCCTCAAGATGAACAGCGACTGGCTCATTATCGTCGGCGGGACCGAGTCCGGGAACGACCTGACGAAGGTACGCGAGCGGCCGATCAAACTCGACGTGGCGGACCGCGTCGTATACTCGGCGCACGTGTACGCATGGTCCGGGTGGGGTAGCCGGGAGGGCCGGTACGCGAAGCGCAGCTACGCGTCCTTCATCCAGGCGATGCGCAAGAACTGGGCGTACCTAGTCGAAGACGACGTGGCGCCCGTCTGGGTGGGCGAGTTCGGCGCGCCAAACCACCCCGGCGCCGGCGATGCTAATTACTGGCGCAACCTGCTACGGTACCTCAAGCGCATCGACGCCGACTTCGGATACTGGGCCATCAACCCGCGCAAGCCGAAAGACAACGTCCAGGAGACGTACGCGCTTGTGCACGACGACTGGATCACGCCGATTCTGGATTATCGCATGCGCGATATGACGGAGTTGATTGCCGGCTCGGGAGAGGGTGGGGGCAGCGACGGTACATCGGATGGGGGGAAGAGCTTTGGCCCGGGAAGTTTATAGCGTGTTCTAACCGGGGGGGAGCATGCGCCACGTTGTTGTTTTAGTTGGGACGGTGTGAGGGAATTGTGCTGGAAATACCCATCTAGGGAGCGGGAGGATAAAGACGATGAGGGGGTGTGCGTTCGCCTTAGCGCGGTTGCTAAAAGGTATTGTTTTTTGAAGGCGGCTATTATTCCCAACTAGCGGTGATTGCCGTGGGTAAGGTTTAGATTGATGGGTTGGTTATAAGAGTGAGTGGTCCCGAGCGAGCGACCAGCAAGCAGGCTTTCGTCATGCTGGCACGGGAGAGTTGGCTGTGGTTGTTAGGTAGGTTGAGGTGGACTGGGTTACTACTAGTCTGACTGACCTGTTTGCCCTTCGGAAGCGAAGCGAGTTATACATAGACATGAGACCAAGTATGAACAATGACTAGCGACAGATTATGATTTAGTTGGTTGAATACTCTCAATACATGGAATGTCTTTGTTCTTTCTTGGCTTGGGAGCCCCTTTTTCTTTGAATTGGTCTAGCGAGGTGCCTGCGTGGATAGATTATTGGTGATATGCGGATTTCAGCGTTATCTTTTGATAACTATACAAATTTATATCTATATAAATTTTATCTATATAAGCTGGATGTTCCGTTTCTGGAGTATATTTATTATATTCCCTGGGTAGGTGATTAAACACCCTCACACTACTGCATTAGGATATGGCTCCTAACTGCTAAGAACGTAATGCTGAAGGCTGGGAAGAGTATATTGGAATGAGTACCGGCTATTATGTCTAGAAGCCATTAAACGTATTCTCATAGTTTTATAATTTCGGTCGATTGTACGCAGCTTGATATGTCTGATTAGTGTATTCATAAGTTGTTACCCCGAAAAGGGGCTGAGCCAACCTATCCCGATAAATACACGGAATGTCTAAGAAGAAGCCTCTGGCTTGATTCAGAATCATTGAAATCTTTCAGCTTGGCTAATAAGAGCATTGGACCGATTCTGTTCAAGATTAGGATAAGTCCACAGTGTCATCAGCGTTAACAAATTTGAAGCCAGTGTGGGATAAATGGATATAAAATTGGGGGTGGTTGAAGGATGGAGAGCGGGACTGATACTCGATCCGTTCTCCGGATCCTGTTATAATACGTAAGATATCAACTCTGCGAGGTCAATTAGATTTGTTATATTTATTATATCATGCCTAGAAAGTGTTATTAGTGAGATTATTCCGAAAAGCAATAATCGCGTGATGAAATATCCGAAAGGAGAACACGTCGTAATAATTGTGACGAGCTGGAACACAGCACATAACACAGCACATAATGACACTATAAATAGCATATAATTGCCGAATTATTAGGCGGCAGGGCGGTAGGAACCAACCAGCCAGCCAGCCCCGTTTGAGCTAATGCGGGCTCCACTCGGAACCCCGAGTATTTCACCTTTTTTTCCTTTCAAACTTCAAACAGCCGAACTCCAGATTTTTAGATTTCCACTTCTTCTTAATACGAGACTCTCTTAATACTTACATTTTAATACTTGCCATGTATATGCGCTAACCCTCTCTTTTCAATATCACATATCACTCATCCAGAATTCATGAATCAAATCAATTGGCCGGATAAAAATATAAAAATAGTCACTGAGTATGTCCGAGAAGAATGGCGTCGCAAAGGATACTTCGCTACCTCTCGGCGTAATTCGAGATCGAACCGAGTCTTCTTCTCTTATCTCCTCCGTGCTAAAGATCGTCGACGCTCGCATTGCCAGCACGGAGAATTGGCTCAAGCGCATCGAATGCCTTTATGTGGCCAAGGACAATGAGGAACCCAGCGGCAAGCGGAGACGCGTAGAGCATGGCAGTGTAGCCGCCGACTCCTCGGAGCTTCTGAGGAGAAGGTACATTAATCTTATGGACGCTAACAAGGAACGCTATATTAAAGAGAGACCATATGTCGCTGTCTCTTATACCTGGCAAGCCTCAAAAGAAGAAGAGGCAGAAGAGGAAGCAAAAAAAGAACCGGCAAGGCGCTACCTTGTCGAGTCTCGTAATGCCGGCGAGCCTGCTCTGGCTAATAAGGTGAGGCCTATGATCTGGGACCGAGTACTGAACTACGCCGAGCACGTGGGCTGCAAGTACATCTGGATCGACAAGGAGTGTATCGATCAGGAGAACGAGGCGGAGAAAGAAGCAGCCATACAAAGTATGCACCTGGTGTATAAATTAAGCGAGTGGCCAATTGCCCTCCTCACGCGTAGGATCAAGACTACAGAAGAGCTCGATCTTCTTACCAATCTAATGTGTAACGACGTCGCCCCCGAAGATGAACCAGCCGTGTTATATCTTCTAGATGACATTACATCTGACCTGTGGTGGACGAGAGCCTGGACGTTCCAGGAAGACTATAGAGCTTCTACCCGAATGACGCTGCTTCTCCCGCACCACTGGAGCTTAGAAAGGCGTAAACGAGCTATGGTAGACGACTCTGGTCGGTACATTCTTGGTAAGGTCGAAGGCGAGATTTGTATAAAATCTGTGGACTTCAGGGAACGAGCTACCGAGTTCTGCCTCTCGTACCGGGAGAGATCAGACAACGTGGATATCTGTAACAGGATCATTAAGAGGGCCGCAAAGTATAATGTTCTCCTCAACGACAAGTCTTCGGAGTACTCAGCATCGCGTTCCATGTCTCCGACAATCCTTTCAGACATTCTTTCGCGCAGCATTCAGAAAGAATCCGACCGCCTTGCTATCATGGCTAACTGCTGCGAGTATGGTACTCGTATCAACACAAACTATCTCAATAACAATGGAATTAGCCTCAGCTTATCGATCCTTGCCCAATATCTTCTAAATGGCGAAATCATAGAGAACAACCCGAAACGGCCCATCCTGGGTACACTTAAACACAACATCCACGAATACCTATCTAAACAATCACTTAGTAACTTTCGCCCTCCCGTCCAGCAAGGCCTTAAGTTCATCAAGGGCTGTCGCTTTATGGACCCGCGACTGACTCTGGAGGGAGCATTAACCAGAGGCCACCTTTGGAAGCTGGGCAAAGTCATACGCCGGAAACCAATGAAGTATGAGAAGTACAATACGCTAAGACCCCTTGCACAATTTGCTACTGAGTTGCAATATAGAGTATACGGTGCCTCTTACACGGATATCGCAACCGAGCTGATTAGACACGCGTACGACCGCAGCCGCTCTTCATACCGCGGGGCGTTGTGGCTTGATTGTATGGCGGGCGAAGTCGAGGAAGCCCTGATGCAAGGAAAAGCTCTTCGACTGGGCTGTCTTGTAGACCCTAGAAATGGAATAGAATACAGCCCTTATAGTGCTGTCTTCGTAGGGGACAGCCGCGATGATTGGAAGGACGAGGATGAGGATGAAGACGACATCAGCTATGCATTTACTTCGTACCAATTCCATAAGGAAGATATGCCAGGGTATACCGAAAAACACGTATCGCTAGAGGTCGAGATCGAGTGGCAGAGGCGCGAAAGATCCGAGGGACGTTCGTCCTGCACGTTACCGAATCTATACATCAAGCGCTGGCTCAACGGCCTCTGTTTCTTCGATGGGGTCCCTACAGGGCAAGTCTTGTTTCCCTGGCACCCTACGCTGCTAGAAGAGGCGTAGGGAACCCACTATTACATTACTCCGAGCTCGGATTTACAAGACATGACACGAGACGAGATGAGATGAGAACACGAAACGAGGGTCATCAAGGCATCAATCAAGGAGCGTTGTATTTTATTTTTATTTCATTTTGTTTATTTTATTTTATCACGTGTACATAAGAAAGAAACTCCTCAAGTGGAGGAGGGAATGAGGAACCTGAATGAACCCTAGAGTAAATAAATACGACTGCAATGAATAATATAGTGCCACTGAAACGGCGTTCTCGAGTGTCGAGTATTAGGTTAGGTAGTGATGTGATTACAGCTTTTGCTAGTAGAAGGTCGTCCTACATAAGTTAGGCGATTATTGAGCTTCCCGAAGACTACAATAAATATATCAATCTGACGTATTATCAGCAGCTCGGTTTTCAGTCGCAGCTTGTGAAAAAGGAGTAAGAATACACCAGCGCGTGCTGAATCTACGCCTACATGCTACAGGTACTGGAACGACAGCATCGCCACCGTATTACAAACAAACAAAACCATCTATCTCGCTTCAATACTTGCCGCTCACTTCGCTCCGTTGCGTAAACAATTGCCTATCATCCCTAGCAGAATACAAGGCAACAATCCCGGGTAGGAAGCTCACATCTCCACGTACGACAACACAAAAACTTACACGCACAATGATCACATCTCCACAAAGTCGTTAAATCATCCATTCTACGAATTTTTATATTCGTTTCATATCAATCAGCCTTGCCTTGCCTTGCCTTTCTTTTTTTTTGTTTCTTTTTGATTTGGTTCTTGCTCTGGAACTCGGAAAACGTAAAAGCCTAGGTTTTAATAACTAGGCTATCCGAATACTCCCCCCTGCCCTTCCCCTTTCCCTCCCCCCCTTTGAAGATCGTAAAACTTGCCTAGGCACATGGGAGCTTTGTAAAAAGGAAAAAAATAGAAAATAAAAAAGGGAAGAAAAATAAAAATCCGGCATCTGTCATCCTTCCTCCCGGCTGCCGGGCTGCTCTCCTCTCTCCGCAACACACTGGCTGGCTGGCTGGTTGGTTGGTATACGGGACAAGGGTACCGGATAACCAGCAGGCAGACAGGACGAAAGGCGATCGATCGAAAAAAAAGGAACGGAGTGAAGTGGATTCTGCCGAGATTGCGCAACATGAATTATTTCAAACACCGATTTTGCACGGGGTGAAAATCAGACATGGCAACACAACATGACATTGATGCGAGACGGGGGAAAAACCAGACCCCAAACAAGTGGTGTAAATGCGACAACGATAAACCCCGCCCGATTTCTGACTATCTGTTTGTCTGTCCGTCCGGGGCATCCCTTTTTTTTTCTCTCGAAATAGGCCACCATCGGGAAACGACAAAAAAATAAAGTCCCGTGTGCCTGATAACTCCGTTGCTAATAGTCCACACTGAAAACACAAAAGGAAAATAGAAGGAAACAATGCATGTCTCAAACCCGGAAAACGCCGTTGCTGTGGACTTCATTTATAGAAACGATTGTTGTGTGGCGATGGGTGCGCTCCAAATATGTGACATACGCAATGTCGAACGCAACAACTCAAATTGTATCCGTTAGAATAGTGCCTAAGTCTGTCTCAGAAGGCTTCACATGTGGCCGTGGCGTTGGCTCTTCGTCTGCTTCCTCGTCTTCTGCGGTAGTCGCTGTCATTGATTTTGGCGTTGTGTCGGAACCTTGGCCGGCGGCGCTTGGATCGAGTGTTAAAGAAACTTCCGGCGGTGTCTGCAAGGCAGCTTTAGACGACGATACAGGACCCGAAAGTGGTGAAACATCACTCTCTCTCGAAGGAGTGACTACCTGAGTTGTAGGCTCTAGGGTAGTGTCGGATGACGAGATGGCAACACTCTCGTGACTATTTGCCCTCATCATTTCAATCCCAAGTTTTGAGCTAGGAGTTGGCCCCTTGCCACGGAACCCACGATCTCGATGAGTACCAAGCTCGTCGTCTTCATCATCTGCCGAGTCATTACCTTCTATACGTCGTTTCTCGAGATGTTCACGCCTTGAACGAAGCTTCTCTAGAGATCGCCGGGGAGCTGGCATTCTAGGTTGCTCCATTTGGGCTGGAGCTGATTGTTGAGATATAAGTGGAATAGGAATTATCGAGACTGCTCCGGAACTTCCAGATGTCCCCTCGTTGCTAATACCAAGTCCAGAATCTTCTCCCCACTCACCCATACCTTTGCGACCAGGGACCACAGGTATTTCATCGGTAGTCGCGGATTCAGAGTCCCCAAATAAACTGGAACTAATGGAATCTTCCCTACTCGATCCCCTAAAGCTACTACTGCCTGGGTGAGCATATCCAGATGATACCGAGGTGGGACTCTCTTCCATGTGTGGGTTTTTCAGTCTCACACTAGTGATAGGATTTGGAATTGGCAGTGACTGAACTTGACCTGGTGTCGGCGGTTTCCATTGGCAAAGGTTGGAAAGAACTTCGATCAGCTTAGAAGAGCTGATGGGTTTCTCAATGAGCGAGTCAAAATAATGAGGAGCTTGCAACTCCTTCAAGTAGGCTGTAATTGCAACAATAGGAGTATGAGCATTGACGTTCTTGACTTCGCGCACCATCCGGGCGACGTCCGAACCGCTTATTTCGGGCAGTTTAAACTCGGTAAATATGATATCAAACTTGATTTCGCTAACCGCGTATCGAACTGCGTCCGAGCCGGTCGACGCGGAGATGGTACGACACCGCAGCTTCTCGAGCAACTTCTCCATTACCATTCGTGAAACTGGGTGGTCTTCGCAAATTAGAACGTCTAAAGAACGGAATGACGGACTATCAAGTACAATAGCCGACATCCTACGAGAGGACTGGCGACGTCGTTGCACTTTAAGAAGAGCACTCGCCCGTTCGTTTTCGTTGTCCGATGACGAAGGAGACATGTCAAAAACTTGACTTCGACGGTTGCGATGGTGTGCAAGAAGGTCAGCAGCTACAGGACTACCTTCTTGAGAGCCTACGGTTAGAGATCGCGATCGTGTCGAGGATTCGCTTGGCTGTCTTGGAGCCCCTACTGTTCTATGCGGCGATAACGGTAACGGTATCGGTAACGGAGGCGGTGCAACTTTACCCTTCGCGGGGGACGGAGAAGCTGCCGTTGCTGATTTTTGAAGGCTAGGGGTAGTACGAGAGACATCAAAAAAGCTCCCAGGCTGCAATGATCCAGAGCAAGATTGTTGCGACAGACTTGAGGAATTGCTCGAGGCCTTCCTGCGACCCTCTGCTCCCTGACCTGCATGGAAGGATACGAGGAGTGGCGAAGACGGTTGAGAAGCACGGCTAGGGGATGAATTGGCGTGACTAGCCGTGGAAGGCGATGCCGGGCGTTGTGATGCCGACGCCTTAGCGTTGGACAAGTTGCGTTGTATTGGGTTGGATAAGATCGGGCTCCCTTCGAGCCCGGGACCTGGAGAAGTGGGATTATTCCCACCTGGACTTGTTCCGGATCTGTTCTGTGCCGCCATCGCCTGAGCTTTCAACTGCTGGATGACATCTTTATTGGCTTTGTCAAGCACTGTAAGATTCTTGAAAGCAAATGTTCCAAAGTCATCGGAAGCCACCGGCTCACTGAGTCGACGACTCTTTAGATCTCGGATGTGGGGAGGTATGTGCAATGGCATCAAACCTCGTTTGATCTGGTTGACCTGAACTTGGGACCGGACACGCGATAAAGCATCGTGCGGGCGATCAGGATAATCCGGTGTCGCGACTAACGCAGGCGAAGCTTGATCTTCGATCTCTTCGGTGAAAGACTGCAGAGTGGCACCCCGAGCATCAAAATACTCCGTGTCTTCGGGGTTCTCGGGTTGAGGAATAAACTGGGCATCATCCTGTAGTAGAGTAGCCCAATTGATACCTTCAAACCAGGGGTGGTTTCTAATCTCTTCTCCGCCAGACTCGTACTTCCCCTCACGATTCGAACCCAGCCTCTGCTGCGGATCAATGCAGAGCAATTTGTTGATAAGGTCTTTCGCCTCGGACGATACGTCGTCGTCCGACTCATCTGGCCACGTAATTTTTCGCCCAAGTATGTTCTCGAAGACTTGTTCCGCCTCGTCGGCGTGGAAAGGAGGGTAACCATAGAGGAACTCAAACATAATACAGCCGACTGACCACCAATCACTAGTCTCGTCCTGTCTAGCACCTTTAATGGTCTCGGGGGCGAGGTAATCGGGAGTTCCTACGAACCGACGGTTTGTATCTTCGGGGTCAAATAGAGCCATTGGAGGAGGCTTCATGCTTGACTGAGGCGGTGTATTCCTATGTATGTCGCTGTTGTGGCTGTTGCTGTGTTGAAGCGATGGTAAATCAGGAGAAGCATTGCCGCCATCACTCACATCATCGCGCGGAGACCGTAAACTAGCTTGACTATGCTGGGGGTCACCTAAAGAGAAGTTCCCCATCATATGCGTCAAGGTTTCGCTACCACCACTGTCGCTACGTTGGCCAGGTGGATGAACTTGTGAAAGAGTGAAATAAGACGGTTGCCCAGCTCCAGTATCCGGGGTTATCTGCGGTGTGGCAGCGGGAGAATGGTGACTGCCGTGAAAGTCAAGTGAAGCCGACCGGGACGATGCCACGGACGTCGACCTGACAAAAGGCCCCGTCTTAAGTAAATCGGGTGTAGGCTCAGCATTTCCACTATTTAGAGCTCTCTTCTGGCGACCGATTAATCCCATGCGTGACAGACCAAAATCAGTCAATTTGAGGTGGCCTTTTTGATCGATGAGGAGATTATCGGGTTTTAGATCACGATGGATTATGCCTCGATCATGTAGATGCTCTACACCGAGAATAACTTCACCGAGATATTTCTTTACCCACTCCTCTGGTAGCCCCCCGAGGACTTTAATGAGGGAAGCACAATCGCCTCCATTCAGATACTCCATGACAAGATACAAGTAGTCCTTGCTAGAGAACGTCCAATACAGCTTTGCAACGAATTCGCTCTCCCCTTGCCACATCATAATAGCCCTTTCGGCTTTAACATTCGTGACTTGATTTTTAGCCACCATGTCCGCCTTCTTCAAGACCTTGATCGCAAAATATTCACCTGTAGACTTCTTCTTTGACAGGTAGACACTTCCAAAGGCACCCTTGCTAATCGGTTTGATGATTTCGAAGTCTTTGATTGAAGGGGGGACGGCACGTGCCATTGGTGGATGGTTGGCAGGGTTTAAACGGGGAGACACGGGCCGATTTGGAAAGTCCGACATA